GTGTGTGTGTGTGTGTGTGTGTGTGTGTGTGTGTGTGTGTGTGTGTGTGATACAATGAGTTGTTTTGTCTCACTGGGGTAGAGAACAACGACTCAATGCCTCAGGTTATCTCTGCATCTTAAACATGTCAACCAGCGGGCTTCAGGTGTGTGTTTGTGTGAAATGGAAAGAGAGCACTAAGTGGAGGAAGTGGTTGTTTAAATTTGAGAATGAATGTTGTTGAAATTATGCATTGTGTGACCTGACATGCAGAATCTAATGAGCATTACTTCTTGTTGCAGCTTTTGAACTGCAAAAAGGTTGTGCTTTTATTTAGGGATGTTTTCAAGAAACCAGCTTTTTCTTCTTTCTTTCTTTTTTTGTTTTTGTTTTTGTAAAGAAGGGCGTGAGTAAGTTCGTGGCTCTCATACTCACTGCTGATTGATGCCACACAATGAACATTCGTCTTTCACACACGTCGAGCTTTAAACATGTGCTGATTCACGCAAATGAGGGGGTTTGTGTTTCCTGGGGAAAATCCTCCACAGCACTGGAAGTGAGGTTTTCTCTGTTTGTCTAAACAACAATGGCAGCTTGCTCCTAATAATTACAGTAAGATAAAGGAACTGCGAAAGACCGTGGTGTACTTTGATCAGTTTTTATTACAATACGTTGACCAGGTGTAAACAGGAGGTCTTAAACACCAGCCGAGTGACCAAAGGAATCGCCAAAAGAAAACAGCTGTTATGGGGATTACAAACCTTGGAGGTTAAGTGTGCCTTATGAACACTTTTATTTTATAAAAGAAACTGTTTTTAGTGTGAATAACACTATGACATATGACATCTCACATACCATCTGAATGCACTTATTATTTGTGTATAATGTTTCATGTATAAAATGTTTCATTATATTTATATAATGAAACATTTCTTGCAGTGCTGCAGTCTCCCGGGCTCTGTCCTTATCACAAGGTAGAGTACATGCAGTTTTTACAGATATCAGTAGCTGTTTTGTGACTTTAAAAACTTTATGAAGCATCACAGTTGGACCATATGGCACTGAGCTAAATGACCTGCAGATCAACTTCACCACGTGAGTGATTTATTTATTCAACAAAGCCCCAGTCGGGATGGACAGTGATGGCGGAGGAGACAGAAGGAGGATGAAAAGATCAGTAAGGGAGGTGAAAAGGGAGGAAAAAATGGAAAGGACAATGAGGGAGGCAAAAAAAGGAGATGATAAAAAGGTGAATAAAGAGAGGACATCAAGAGGGGTGAATAGGAGGAAATGGACCTGCGGTGAGGACAGTTCATACATCGGGCAGGTCTTCAGGTCCGTTGGCCTGTAAGTCAGTAGAGCAGAGCTGTCAGTCACATCCCACTAAGGACTCAGAATATAAAGTGACATCAATAAGGATTACACATCACAGCCAAGCTGGATTTATCTGGTTTTAGTGCCTCTTTATCTGGTAAATAAACCAGTTTGTCAAATTCCTTTTCCATACTAAATTATTCACAAGAGTAACAGAGACATGGTGAATGGACTGGTTGTTGTATAGTGCTTTTTAACTCAGCTTGAGTAACCACAGTGGTTTATACTACAATCCTCATTCACACACAGGTTCATGCAAGCACTTTTTCCCCTTAAGCATAAATATATGAATATATAATGAATATATTGGGGAATTTTTAGTTATAGAAGTACCACTGATTTATTATGCTTATGTCTTAACCTCAATCCCTGAATATGACAGCAGACACTGTGGCGCAGTGTCTACACGCGCTGCATTTATCTGCTGTGTGGTCTTCTACAAACAGAACACATGAAGGGAGAGGGGACAGCAGAAGGACAGGAAGGGAGGACGGGAGAGAGGGACGTGGACGCAGAATCCTTATCCACCTGATTATAGTGTTTATGACATCTGGACAGTACTTTGGCGCTAAAACGTGCATGTCTGTGCTAAGAGTATTTATGTGCCCCAGGGACACACCTGGAGTGTAGCTGTTCAGTTTTTCAACTCAGCCACTGGCACATTTCACCTGTCTCAGTTTCCCATGACTCCCATTCTTCCACCCTCAGGGCAAATTTCCTCAGTTTCTTCAAGAGCAGCAGAGCTGAGTGCATAAACAGGATTTCAAAGTGCGCTCAAGTCTTTTTCACAGCCCGATGGAGGAACCTGTGGTGCTGGCTAATCCATTATAATGCTCATTTAGTTTGAAAGAATAGTTTGTTGAAGAACACAAAATGTTCTCATCATATGATGCTGTTTTGCCAGGTGCTGCTAATTCTCACTTTTGAGCTGAGTGCCTTTACTTTCACTCACTGTTTGGTTAGGTTTTGATAAAGGTCATGGTTTAAGGAAACATCCTGAACCCTGCAAAATGACAGGTGGGGATGACTACTCCGTCTTACTTTTGCCATAATCCTGTGCATCATGCTCAAAGGACACCTTGAATGCATAAATGTGGATAAATGTGACCCAACACAGACTTTGACAAAACAACATTAGTCAGCAACATTATTCGTGCATCAATATTCACATTTCTCAGCAAGAAAGTCGAAACTAAAGGATTCATTTCAAAATGTCACCTAATTGTGTCACATTTTGGACAGTATTGTGTAAACTGGCAAAAAATTTGCAGTCATCTATCTGAAACCAGGTTTTTCAAGTGCTTGAGAGTCTGCATCAAGCACCATAGGCTGTATATAAAAGGAATGTATGTAGGTGTGAAGATGTCACCCACTGGACACAGCATGTCTTTTATCCTGTCTTCCTTCTCTCACCCCAACCGGTCGCAGCAGATGGCCCCGCCCCTCCCTGAGCCTGGTTCTGCCGGAGATTTCTTCCTGTTAAAAGGGAGTTTTTCCTTTCCACTGTCGCCAAAGTGCTTGCTCATAGGGGGTCATATGATTGTTGGGTTTTTCTCTGTATCTATGAAGCGCCTTGAGGTGACTTTTGTTGTGATTTGGCGCTATATAAATAGAATTGAATTGAATGGAATTGGATTTAGACGCTGCACTCTGAAGCCTCTGTTTTTGACCACAGCGATGCTGGTTCACTGGACCATAGATGTTACCATAGATGGACTACATGTCCAGGGCTGGTTAGGGCTTTTCCCCTCATGTTTTCTTTCTCTCTCTTAACTATCCACTCTTCTCCTTTCCGCTGCCCTCAGGTGGAGTTGGGAAGCCCCACCCTGCAAGTGAAGCCTGCTGCCTTTCCACTCTGCACCTGTGTGCTGTCAGCTCATTACCTTCCTATACTTAAGGACCAGCTCGAGCCCACTCTGGTAATCAGGCTCTCTGATGTTTGTTGAAGCTCCCTGTGAATTCTCCTCACAAACGCCTCATTCCCCTCTGCTTCCTAATGACTCTCTCAGTCGGCTGAAGGAGCTCTCTCACCAGAAATCGTCTGCTATCCCGAGCTGGTTAGTTTCTGTGAAAGGATTAATCTAGTTAAAGCTCACCTGCCTTACCTTCTAGAAAACCCCAGCCTGCAACTCTGTCCTGAACACTGGAACAAGAATTTTTTTAAAGCGCTCCCGTTCAGTGAACTGTTACTCACCAGTGATTTCCCCGCTTCACACTCTTTCCCTGCTGTTAAATAAACGTAAAAAAACAACAACAACAACAACTGTATGACACAAGAGGGTGTAGTGCTGTGCTATCTGCTAAGCTGGAAGGCCAGTCATAAACCATACAGTTGGAATTCACAGAATCGCTACAAATTAGTAATTAGTAATTAGTTCCAAGTAACAGGCTAAAATACTTGAATTGCACTCAACAAAACTGAAGCACAAACTTCTTGGAAGGTCAGTACCTTACAGTAAACCATAATATTAGTCATATAATGGCTTAACTAATGCTTCAAATGGCACCAACAGTTCATAGTTGAGAGTTCAGACATTGGCTCTCTTCCACAGCATGTCTATTGTCCTGTCTTCCTCCCCTCACTCCAGGTGAGGGGAGGATGGCCACCAGATGGCTGCCCCCCTGAGCCTGGTTCTGCCAGAGGTTTCTTCTTGTTAAAAGGGAGTTTTCCCCTCCAATTGTCACCAAGAGCTTGCTCAAAGGGGGTTATCTGACTGCTGGAACTTTTCTCTGTATGATAATTTGTATGATTGTAGGGTGTTTACCTTGGTGCTATAAAATAAAATAAAATTGAACTGAATTGAATTTATAGAGGCCAAAACTATTTTTGTACCATGCTTGTAAACTTGCTTGAAATAAATAAAACTAGGGGGTTTAACATGGAAGTCTATAGAGAATGACTTTTGTAGTCGGCCTCAAGTGGCCATCAGAGGAACTACAAGATTTGACATTTCAAAGTTGGATCCAACTTTGGACAACTAATCCCAATAGCTAGCTGACTGGATAATAATACATTACAAACTTGAAATTAAGCCAACACCCAGAGGTTTGAGAGATGCCGTTTTAGGTTAGGAACAATTAAGAATCTTATAATTAGATTAAGCCAACATTGTGCACTTATTTGTTTGAAAATGTTTTGTACTAGATACAAATTTCTGACACAGAAGAACTTGAGCTCATATTTGAATTTGAGAATTTCAAAATATTTAGTTTTATTTCAGGCAGAAGTTTAATTGAATTGGGTAAATTGTGGAGACAGGATTGTTCTACTGGGGAACAGAAAAACAGTCATGAAAGATTTCAAGTGATTTCCAAGCTTTGTTCATAAACCCAGAGCTGAACATTTAGGCTTATGGATGCAATAAAGTGAAACTGTGAAGCTAAAATGTTCCATATGGTTCCTGTCAGATTCTTTCTTTTAAACTCCAGTTTTGAGCTGAGGTGAAAACCTGTGTCATTGTGCCTTCAACATCAAAGCTGGCAGCGCAGCAGGGCATGGCCAGACACCTGCTCTGAGCGCACAGAGCCTTTTTCAGAAAGAAGAAGAAAAAAGACCGCGCACATACAATAACCGTGTGGGTCCTTTAAAGCCGCAGATTACAGATACGTCCTCCACGACAAGTCCCGTCGTGACCGCGGAGGCGCACATAAGGGACCCTGAGGGGCTGAAGCCAATTTAAAACCTGCAGGTTGGCAGCGGAGTATTTTGCGCAGCGCCACTGGTTCGCTCCTCTCTCTCTCTCTCTTTCTCTCTGTGAGATGAATCCGGGTGAAGGAAAGGGTTGGGACAGGGAGGAATAGCCGGAGGGAGGGATGGCTGAATAACGAGGAGAGAAACACCCACTCCGGACTGAACGAACTGTATCCGGAGAGAAGGAGTGAGAGAAAGGAAGAGGGGAAGAAAGAGTGAGAAGAAAGAGGAACCCTTTTGGGAGGCAGAAGCAGGAGCGGTCTTTGGTATTCACGGGATTTCCTTTGGGGGATAAAAGGACGCTTTGAATTGATGACTGGAGAGGTATGAAAGGCGATTTCATTCATTGTGCGGGCAACTGAGTCGGTCTCAGGTGTGCTGCTGGCGCTGGAGTATTTCGGCCAAATCGGTTCATTTGAATAGGTCTGATAGTTTGAGAGAAATCTGCCTGAGAAACTTAAATTAAATCACTCTGGAGCACTTCAACATGATCACCGGGGACGCATTCATGCTGCGGTCATGAAATTAAACTTGCAGGCATGAGAGCAGGTGGAAAATAGACAAGTAATTTAGCGTATGTTTAAAAAAATCTCTTAGGCTAAGGAAAATTTCACCTACGAAACAAACAGTTTGTATTTTACTCCTGATGTGTTAAAATTATTTACTCTTAACTGATCCGCGTGTCTTTCTCGGTCTTTCTTATTATATTTAGTATTTTTCTAAAAACCCAAAAAAAAAAAAAAAAATTAAAGGAAAAAATGGCTAGATTTTATTCAAGTTGACGCCTTTTCTCTGGTCTTCATTAAGCAATTAAAGCAGTAAACCGGTTGCAAATTTTCCCCTCGAATTAAAAGACGGATTATCGTCATCATCGATGCAATCCGGAGACAAGGGAAACTTTGGTCCCTATTTAAAGGTTTGCTGTTAGGACCACGGGAGGACCGTTTACGCTCCCTCTGAGTCTAATCATCTTACTTTAGCAGCCCCGATGAAGTTTTTGTGTGTGTAAAATGTTGCATTGTCAGTGTGTGTGAAAGATTTATTACAAATGAAGTAGTTTCACTTTTCCATCCCTCTCCATAAGTATGAAAAACTAGGACAAATAATCCCCCATTCTTGTGTATTCTCATTAATTCTGCTTTTTGACAACGTCTGAATGAAAGACCTGCTGCTCAGTCAACACCACAGAACGATCGATCGTCATCAAAGGACTTTTTTCTTCTTTCACATGTCCTTTAATCCATGCGGCGACACGTGTGACTGTAGTGAGGTGGGTCTAAAAGAGAAAATCAGAAGGTATCTGTGTGTCCATCAGTGCTCATACTAAAGAGTGGCAGAGAGGTGGGAGAGGAGGCGAGGGGTTAGGGGTAATGTGGAGGAGAGAGAACAAAAAAGTGAGGGGTGAAAGGAGGAGATGAGATACGGAAGAAGTGTTTGCTCTTTTGGTTGAACAATGGCTTTGTGAAATGTTCCCTCTCTGGACTGTCAATCAAACTGACTGTCACTCTGTCTGACCTCTTCTCTTCTCTTCTCTTCTCTTCTCTTCTCTTCTCTTCTCTTCTCTTCTCTTCTCTTCTCTTCTCTTCTCTTCTCTTCTCTTCTCTTCTCTTCT